ACAATGCTTTCTCAACCCTCTATATTTTTCTTATCCCCTCTCTCTCTCTTTTTTTTTTTTCTTCTCTCCGACCCTTCACTGACTCGGGACATGAAAGAAAGCAGCCAGCAGTCATTTATTTCAGATGTGGGCTGGCAGACAAAAAGAGAGCGGAGTGACATCTGGCGAGGGATCTCATTTGACTCCAGAGAGTTTTAAACATAAGTTCAACTTAATCCAAATACACAGCTATTCGGTGGAACAGTGCCCAAGTGAAGGGCATATGTTTTTTCCACTATGACACCTCCTTTTTACTTAAGATCCAATCAATCACTTTCCTCCAATCAATCACAAGTTGTGAAAATATGATTTTACCAGCATCTTTCTCTGGCGTATAAGACCTGTCCCTGTCTATTCACCTGGACATCAGTACAAAGTATGTGAAAGAAAGTTTCAAAGGTTGCAGTTATTCCTCGTGAGGCTGAGTCTAAAATACCGGCATTTTTTTTTTAATCAACAATTAACTACTTCCGCAGGTGATTAATGTCAAGAATACTTCAAAAATGCCACACTGTGCACAGTAATTGCCAAGTGACAAAAGGCAACCACTCAGCCTCTTGGCAGCATACAACAGCCATCAGTGAAGTGTGTGGCACTGTTAATTTGAACATGTGTAAGCTTCCTTTCAAGTGTCTTGTGGGAAAACGCTCCATTGTATCACGAAACAACATGCCCATGGCAATAAGTGCTTCAGAACTTTGCTCATCAGAACCGTCTCTGTCCATCTGTCCTGCTTTGTCATCACTTTGTCTTTTTTTTTCTCCTCTCTCTCTCTCTCTCTCGATTGTTGACAGGAAGTGGAACCTTTCCTTTATTCCATGTTTTCCTGCTTCCTTTCTTAATTCCGTTTGTTTATTCTCTGTCCCACTAAGCTATGATGTCTTTCATATTCACACCATCTCTCTCTCTCTCTCTCTCTCTCTCTCTCTCTCTCTCTCTCTCTCTTCCTGTCTTCCCTCATCGTTCTAATGGCCCCTTTCTCTGCTGTTGGCCAAGTTGCTGGCCGGAGCTCTTTGATTTCACCATCCCGCTTTTCTCGCTCTGTGGTAAACACATAAAAGGTTTTGGAATTAGTATAATGACTTCAAATTGTCCATGCTGCGGTCCATCAACACAGCGTGAGAGGCCGGGATATGTGTGTGTTTCTGTTCTTACAACCCCATGCATAATCTGATTCATATTTGTGTAAGGGCACGCTCGTCTGTGCTTGCATTGACAATAGATGCCCTAATGTTAGTGAAAGGTACTTTGTATTTGGGGGGCGATGAGGAGCCTGCATAATGTGCAAAGAAAAAAACTCCACATTAATGCCATTCTCCATTTATTCAACATCCGTGGTCTTAACTTAATTTGTGCATTATGTCATACATCTCTCATGCTTGTGTATATCAGTAGAGCGGAAATTGCAGTGTCTTCAGAAGACAGGCCTAATTGAGTTAATTGGCTTCTGGTAGTGTAGTGTTCATGAGCTGTACTTTCTATTTCACGGTGCCATTTATACAGTACAGCCAAACCAACCCAGAATAGCCTTCAACGTTAGCTGTCATGCCACGGCTATCAGCTGTGAAGAGAAGACTGCGCTCTCTACTCTTAACTATCAAGCCGCCCGTCTCTTAGCATCAGCCTTGTCTCCCAGGAATTACATTCTTCTACAGCTATTCAGTATTAGCCATTTGAATTAAGTTGCAATTGGTAGCTGCCAGAGCAGATGGGGACCAGCAATCTTTTGTGATCATTGTGATACAAGTATGCTGATAATGAAATGGAACCTGAACATTATGTTTTGCAAATATGTTCGATATGAGATAAGGTTTTCCCAGGGGAAAGAAAGGCAGCTATAGGTGAGGTTGTACACTAAACACATATAATTGTGATAAGATCTGGGCTGAACAACAGTGGACCTATCCTTTCAGCACTAATTGAAAAATAACAAGGCGTCCCGTTGACAAAAATCCGTAGCTGAGCCCTTTTTTTCATCAACACAAAATGAAATGAGTGCCCTACAGAGGGCAATAAAACCCCAGCACTGCTAAGTCGACTTGGGCAATATTACTTACTGACACACAAGAATTTAGCAAAAAGCATCACTTTCCTCAACCGTGGGACTAAACGTAAGCCCAACGCTATGCTACGTATTTGTCCACAGAATGTACATTCTTCTCTTTCTATATTTGGTCTCCTGATCCTCTTCATGCGAGTCTCTTTTCTCCCCAGGTATTAAAAGCACGTCAGCCATCACTCTACCCCTCTGTTCCTCTTTCTGAATCTCTTCCTATCACGGACCAGAGATTCTTCGCCTGTGAATGTTTTAAACCTAAAGGAAATAAATTCTATTCAGCCATCTGTAGCTAAGCATCTACTTTGTGTGGGACGTTTTTTGAAAGCGCTCTTCCGATGCAAGCATTTTTTAGCCGATATCAGCTGTAGACAGCAAGGTGGAGGACGATGTGGGTCTTCAGCGGGGGCTGTGTATGTGTGCCTTTGTGTAAATACTAGCTGGAAGCCACAACATTGGTCCCAAGGCTGGATGTAATGGAAGTGTTTTGATAAGAGCAAGTTCACAGCTTAAGGCAATCTCTGTTTCACTGTCATTTTCACTGTTATTCTTCCATTTTTTTTCTCTGGGTTATTCCATTTCCACTCTCTCTTTCATCGACTCTCTTTAAACCTTTTTTTCCTCTCTATCTAGGTTTCATTCTCGTCTCTCTGTTACTGAAAGCACTCCATCTGTTCCGTCCTCTTACAGCCACTCACTGATCCCTGTATCGGTACAAGTCAATTGAGTGCAATTTGTTGGCAGGAAACATAGAAAACAAACAACATGGCGGAGTACAAAGACATCCATAAAATTATGTCTTGCGTCTCCCTCGTGATCTTTCTTTGCTCTTGTTTAATTGGTGATTCGTCTCAAACAACTGCACAATTCAGTCCTGCGTGTTGGTGTGTTGTTTTGTGTGTTTGTGTGTCTCCTGTGGTTGAGGTAAAAGTCAGCAGTGGAGCGTAAACTTCCATCAGAGCCTGCAGGGGATCTGCAGGCAGAGCTCCCCGGGCCAACCCACTATGTGATGCTACCATAGGAAAGTCATCAAGGGAGGAAGAAAGTGTGATTCTCTCTCTCTCTCTCTCTCTCTCTCTCTCTCTCTCTCTCTCTCTCTCTATCTCTATCTATCTATGTCAATCTCTATCTCTATCTATCTATGTCAATCTACAGCTTTGTTCCTCTTCCTCTTTATTTCTGAACACACATTTTAGATTGAGACTTTGAGAATGAGGATATTCTTGGAAAGTGATGAAATTTGGCTTCTTCAAAAGCCAGTTTGAAGGTAGAGAGTTGGGTAGGCTTCTAACGTGTAATGCCGATGGTTAGCTTTAGAGTTCGGGGAATGCTCTTAGTCCTAATAAGTGAGCTCTTTTTGAGGTCCTGTTCAGGTTTGGCTGAGAAATTAGAGACCTTTGACTGAAGCATGTGTTACTGCCGGCATCATTTTCCAGTATTCTCTGCTTCATTTGGAGAACATAATAGTCCGGTCAAACACAATCATACCAGGGCAGCTCATGGCTGTTTCTTCTGATTGAGAATACTGAAGTCATATCCTCTTTATTTTTTTGTTATGCCCATTTCCAATTTTTCACAAATGGCATAAGGTGTTCGCAAAATAAAACATATTCTACGGGCATATTTACACCATTTACAGGCTACAATCAATTTTGAATTAAATGCCCAAATTAAAGAAATGAGAGCTAAGTGAACCCTGACTGATGTTTCGTCCCCACGGCGTCTTGGTCCCTCTATTATTTAGTGCGCCAGGAATGCTCGCACCTAACGTGTCTGTGGTTGCAGCTATCAAGTTTGTATTTGAATGCATGTATGTACGTATCCATGTGTGCATGTAGGTACCATGTGTGTCTTTCAGTGATGAATGATTCATGACGTGGTTACGCAGCGTTTTCTTGAGCAGTATTATATAAAGGGAGTTCATCCTTATTGTTGAAGAACAGTGGTGGATCAGACATTACGCTGAGCAAGACACCAACGCCACCACTATACTGTGATTTAAAGAAGCTGGCTGTCCAGGTTGTGCAGCCACTGCAGTGCATTTGTACTTTCTCTCCTGCTCTCTTACTCACTTGTTCTTGGTCTCGAATAGTCCCTCTCATCCGGTTCTTGTTTCTCCCTCCATGCCTCTCTGTTACCTCTCCTTCCTGGCTCCATTTATACTATTTTTCTCCCCCATAAATCCATCCATCCATCTCACCCCTCCATTTTTCTGTCTGTCTCCCTCAATATTCGCAGACAGTGCTCGCCCGATGAGCTCCATGTCGTGAGAGCTTGTCAGCTGTGTCAGGTCTCTCCTCCTCCAAACTACTCTCCGAAACTCACTAAGGACCTGAGAACTAGTGCTCAGTCCTCCGCAGTCTGCTTCGCTGTCTTCTTGTTTCATTATAACTGCCCTCCAACTTACTTGGCAGACTTGTATGTGGCCATAGTCCTAATTTAGTAGGGTTTATGTAACAATTTCTGCCTATAGTACATGTCATCATATCTCTCCTTCAGTCCACTGCCTATACCCTTTCACTGGAGACGTGTAGTCGACTATACAGGACGACGTGTGCCTGTTTCAGCCTGCCAAAATAAATGCTAAGAATCATTTCACATTCTTACACAAAGAGCCGAGCTCTGCAGCGCACAGGCAATTAAGCAGCTTCATTAGTGCCATTGTTTCACATATCATTTTCTCTACCTGCCTGTGTGTCACTGTAGGTGTCACTACACAAATGCTCTGCTAATTTTGCCCGTGTTAGACCGTCCTCTACTACCTGTCTTCCCCCTCTTATCTGTCCTTCTCCTCTTTCCCTCACCAGGCGTACTATGCAGTTGGACAATTACACAGGCTATCTCTGACAACTTGAAATGTGATAAATGACTCTCACGCCGTCCCTCTGTGTCTCTCTCCTCCTAGATGTACATCCAAACTACCACCCTGACCATCTCTCTCAGCCTGTCTGCCTCTGTGTCTCTGGGGATGCTCTACATGCCAAAGGTCTACATCATCCTCTTCCACCCCGAGCAGAACGTACCCAAACGAAAACGCAGCTTCAAGGTCAGGCCCTGTGAAATACATGAGTCTTACATGCTACATTTTCGGAATATTTTCCATATATTTGATTTAGTATTTTGACTGACATTAAACATCATTCGTGCTGATGATATGAGGATAATACATTTAAAGATACACTAAGTAGAACTACATCGAACTACAGAGTAGGGCTGCAACAACTAATCGATTAAATTAAATAGAATTGATTATAAAAAATATTTGGCAACACATTTGGTCATTGAGTTGGGTCTATGCTGTGATGCAAGACACACACTGTGGCAACGTCCCCGTTGGGGCAGTATTCCAGCCAATGGCGCGGCTTTTAAATCTCACGTTGTGAATTAAAGGAAATGACGCCGTCTCCTACATCTTCAGACGTCTCTAGAGTAAGCATTTGAAAAGTGCCGGAGGCAGATTTTAACAATAAAGTGGAGATGAGTATATCCACGATTACAGGTTCTAATTTAAAAAAAAAAAAATGCCGTCCGTCTGTTTGTGTGTGTATGTAGCCAGTGGCCTGGGTGCCGATAAAGCTATCTAAGAACTAATGCTTGATAAAGGTATTGCTCCCTGTGGTTAAAGAGCATTGTACAAGTTTTTTCTTTTGATAAAAGGATGAAAAAAAACACTTTTTATCAGATTTAATAATCGATTAATCAAAGTAGTAATTGACGGATTATTAATCGACTATCAAAATAGTTGTTTGTTGCAGCCCTACTAAAGACGGGAACCAGATCTTGTACCGCACAAACAGTCTTCATTGCCAATGAGTGGATTTCTGAATGTGAATGCATGATGATACAGGCAATTGTGACAGCTGCCACCATGTCGGGGAAACTGAACCAGAAGGGAGACCGGCCCAACGGAGAGGTGAAGACTGAGCTATGTGAGAGCATGGAGACCAACAGTGAGTAAGAGAACACCAGAATTTTATAACTATACATATAACAAACTGTATCGTCCCGTCCATTTTTATTACAGAAATCCACATAATGCTTGAATACATGTTGAGAGATCAACGCTAAAGCATACACACACAATGATACACACACACCTAGAGAGGTTAAAACTGTATTCTAGTGAATAGGAAACATGATGGCGCAGTATAACAACTGCTCCGATGGAGTTATTTACTCTTTCAATGAAATAGTTGATCTCATACTACCAACAAGTGGGTAGTACATCATACACACTATTTTTCCTTTTGTACATGTATGCTTGGATGTGCAGATTGCATGAGGATTTTTAGTTTGCTTTAAGTTTAATTTCAGTTTGAAAATGAATTTCACACCTGACTTTTTTTTGCGTGGCAAAACAGCTGCAACAGTGACAGTTTTTAAATAGCACGGCGTGTCTTCTCCGAGCTCTGACGGTGAAGCAATGTTACATTCTCTTCAAAGCTCTGTTTTGTGTTCTGCTTCGTCAGCGATCCGTGGACGGAATGACAGGAGAGCATGTGAATGTGCACGTGTGTGTGCCTTAGTGCATGCGCATGCATGATTAGCTGCTAGTTTGCATGTGTGCACGCAAGTATCCATCAGTCTGGTGTGTCCTTTGGTGTGTATGTGTGTTTGTGTATTTATCTCTGTAGTTCTGTGTGTAAGTGGTGTTTGTACACCCATCTCCATCTGTAATCTCATTAACCCATGCACGTCTCAGCCTTGCTGTGCATGTCTTTCTGTGCAGTCCATGAGTAAGGCATGTCGGGTAATATGTTTCTGACCCGTGTCTTGAGAGCACCAGTGAAGGAAGCAGGTCTCAGTTCATTCATTTAGCCAGTAGTGAAACTGCTTAGTCATCTCCTCACATACTTCCCTTTACAAACAATATAAATTGCAATTGAATAAGTTCCATATGGTCCAAGGTGGTCACAATCTATGTATTCCAACGGTGATGAGCACAAAGCAAGTTCAGGAGTCTTTACTTTTTTTGGCTCCTGACATTTTGCTTAAATGTGCTCTTTGGAAAATATCAACAAAAAACTTTGGGCATTTTTCAAGTCTGCATGAACTAACACGCATTTCTTTGATAAATGTATTATTATTTTTTTCTATCAAGGACCTTTTTTTTCCCATTATTCCAGCAGTATGATAGTGAAAGGAAAAGAAAAAAAAAAAGAATGAAAGCATAACAATGGCGCAGTTAGAGGCCTGACGTTGCTGCAAAAACATTGACATGGAACGCCTGAGGGGACACAAGACATAATGGGTTTGACAAAAAGCTCCAACTACTCAAGGTGGACTGTGGATGTGACACTGTTACGTGACCATCGTGACAAAAATCTGCTCTCAACTGCTCTTTCTTACGTTCCTTTTCCCTTACCCCTTCCATATCTCCATTCGGTCCCTTCTCCTTCATTCTCCCCTTCTCTTCTTACTCTTTTCCTCATTGTTCTTGACCTCATCTTCGCCCAATTTTGTTGTCATCTTCCTTCCTCCTTTTCCGTCGTCCGCCCTTTTTCGTATTCACGCAGCTTCATCAACTAAGACGACATATGTCAGCTACAGCAATCATGCCATTTGAAGGGACCACAGAGGATGAAGAAAGGGATCGGACAGGAGAGGGGGCGGTGTCTTGGGGCAGTGCCGAGCGAAAGAAGGAGCCGTCGTTCTCAGCCGATTGGTAGAAGGACTTGCGGACAGACTGAGCGCCTGAAGGAATCCAAGCATGAGACATTTTGTATTGTTCAGCATCAAAGCACAGAGAGGTGGGACCACATAAACAGCCAGTCAGTGTGCCTGCTTTCCCGCCGCTCACACCTCATTGGTCCTCCCATGAACTTACCCGTTTAAAAAAATAAAGAGACGACATGAAAAATAAAAAGACATACCATAGGACACTTTGGTGGACAGAGTAAAACTTTTAAAATCTACACACAAAAAAAATAATCATAAAAATGCAAAGAAAAAGAAGAAAAAAAAACACTCAGAAACCATGTAGACATTATATCTAAAAGGGCAAATGTGGGGCTGGGAAAGAGATTTAACAGATTACATTTTAAAAGATATTTAAAAAGAGAAATGAGAAAAATCTACGAGACTCAAACATGTTTGTTGTTATTCTCTACTTGTGAGTATTTTTGTGGTTGTGACGATTTTTTCATTCTTGTCTCACCGTTGTCTGATGGATCGCCCTTGCATAATGAGATGAGTGTGTTTCCTCTTGCTGTCTTGGCTAACCGGGTTGTCGCCTTGGGTTGTGAACCTGTAAAATGCCATGGTTGAAGCATGCCAGTTTTTTATACAAAAAGGAGATTTATTTATAATAAAGGAATGTTTTGCAAATGTGTAGATTGGTGGTCGTTTGTACGTTTTGTAGTTTTGAGGGGGGGGGGGATCCCTTTTGCAGATTATCTTTTAGGTCCCCATCTTTATCATTTTATCATTACTTCACACACAAATGTATCATGCTTCTTACAAGTAGATGTATATGTGTAATTATGTACATTACCGACCATGCTTACAGCAGAATACTGTGAGGTTTTCTATATTTCCCCGCTCATATTTAGTGTAAATGTCCCCTAATTTGACCCGTACTAAAATGTCTCAGCAACTACTGAATGCACTGCCATGGAATCCTAATAACTTCGCTGATCCCCTGAGGTTTCGTCTAGGGCCACTATGAGGTTGACATTTGTGTTTTTCGAGTGAAATGACAAATCAACTGTTGGATAGATTCCCATGAAATATGGTACATATATCCATGTTCCTCTCAGGATGAATGGTAATCACTTTGGTGGTCCCCTGAATGTCAATCTAGCAGATACAATTTTTAATTTGTCTTATGCTTTGTTTTATGTTATGACATCATGACGGTCCCACCAGCCTTCGCTGTACTTTGTGTTTTACGATGTTGGCATGCCCTGACAGAACAGCATGCTTGTTCCTTTTTTCTGCTCCAACATTCATCTCATGAATCTCAAAATTTAGCAAATCACTTGGTTACATCTAGCAAGAAAATATCTCTTGCCATGTTTGACTTGCGCAGAGTTTGTTCTTATATTTTATTTATTTCAATTAAAAGTCCTTAAGTCACCAGTGTAGTGATCTCTCCACTGACAACATGTTACTGGGAGGAATCTGCCAGAGAGAAGGGAGAGTGGGACCACGAGAGAACGACAAAGAGATCAGAACAAAGTGGACAGAACTCCCCTCTCTGTACACCCACAACAACCCACCAGATGTCCAACCTACAAAAATACATAAGAGCCAAGAAAGAAACAGTCAACTGCATCAGTGAATCCATTCTTGCAGGAGAGGAGCAATCAATAGTGCTGAAGGCAAAGTGAAAGGACAAATCACACCGTTTACTCCAGGATGGTTTGCCCTACACACCAGGTGTCAGATGAAAAGGTGTAAAATTCTGTGAGTATGTTCTTGAGAGTTTGTAGTTCTTATACCTTTTGATGTACATCTGCAGTCTTGTCTGGATGCCATGAAATGCTCCCTCGATGGCAGCGTTGACATGTAGACAGAACAGTAAATATGAACCGAAAAGGAAAAGTCTTGTTCCGTAACAGCTGGCATTGTGTGTGTGTGTGTGTGTGTGTGTGTTTTAACAGCTAAATCCCAAATGCCCTTGAGCTAAACACTGAACTCCTACCTGCTTATTTACTGGAAGCTGCTCAGGAAAGATTCGAAGCGTGTTACGTGACCCTAAGCCTCAGTCAACTTGTTTTTAAGCCAAAAGCTAACTTTTACAGACAGACATGTTGTCGGCAAACAATAGTTATTCTTGTGTGTGTATCATGGCAACTGAGTAATCATATCTATTTTACTGTCATGCGTATGTAATTTGTACAGCTGACAGACAGTTTTGCTACAAGGCCTCCTAATCTGACTTCAGTATGAATCACATAAGTCTATTTGTGTACAGGACGGATTGGATGTGATTAATTAGCGGAGAATCAGCCTGACAAAAGTAACAAAGCACAGGTGTGGAAGAGTGATAATAAACCAACCATAACCTATTATTTATATATACATATATATATATATATATTTATATATTTATTTTACGAAGAAGCAATGCCGTGCATTAAAAGGTAATATAAGTGTGACAACTTTGACGATGGAGCCTGACAAAGTTGCTACCTTTGTGACATTTCAAGGGCTTCGATTCATGAAATTCCTTTTGATCGCATTTTATCTTAAGAAGCCACTGAAGCAGATACAGTACCCATAATCATGTCGTTATTTTAAAACACCCACTTTGACATGCAAATAATCTCATCTCTATGCATATTTTAGACTCGACATAATTGAAAAATCCTGCTTGGGTCAGGGTGCGTCAGGTGTCTGCGCACATCCCCCCGAGCCTAAACTCAGCTGTGCAGCACACAGAGCAGCCAGACTGAGCACACTGAGGAGGTTGATTGATATCATGGCGGTACACACAAGACTGTCTGTGAGTATAACAATACAATTTATGGTGGTAACTACATCTAAACAATTCATGATGATTTTGTATTCAAATTCATGCATTTGAACTTAAAAACAGAATGAAACATGCCATCGTGAGCCAGGAGGAGACAATCAACCGGACAACTTTGTGTGCACTCAAATTCCTGTTTGGTTTTATATTCCAAGGGTGCTAAAGATACAAGTAAACCTCCTGAAATGACCGGAATGCAGCTTTTGTTCTAAGCATGCAATTAAAAATAGACATAGTTTTATGAAGTTTTACTATTATCTTACTATTACAATTAATCAAGCACACTTTCATAACTGACCCAGGTCAATCCACATTTCAGGCTTTGTGCAACACAAAGGAAAAACACAAAGGAAAAAAAAAAAGTGCCTTTTCCTTTCGTTGACCTTAGCTCTGAGTGGTGGGATTTTTAAAGTTGAACTGATTAGTCGTTGTTCCACTGGGTACGTGTTTGGTAAAAGAGCACCTAATGACCTTTTTT